ACAAGTTTGGTAGGGCAAGTTTGGATTTCATAATGCATTTATAAATACTCACTTCAAATAATTTTATAAGATTATAACATAAATGAGTTTGGATAACATACCACATATAAAAATTCTCACTTACATAACTATATACAGTAAATAAAAAATAAGAGTTCAATTTTGTAAACACAATCAGATTGGAATAGATACACAATACTACAAATATAAATAATCTCTAGAAAAACTCAGGTTGGTAATGCACGTTTGGACAACATACCACTTATATAAAATATTCATTACAATTACTTTATACAGTCAAATAAATGAAAGTGTAAGTTTGGTGAATGCACTTATGGATTACATACCATGTGTATATATACACACTAAGATTATCTTACATCATAAAACAAAAACAAATTACTATACATATATACGTAGTACTGGTACAAACAAAGTGCAAGTTTGGTACATGTATATGCAAGTTTGAATAAAAACGCGAACATCAGGAAATTCCAAAGGTGGGATCAGGTGTCTTTGAGAAGTGAGTATCCCTTGTTGGTCTGTGTTCTAATACTTCAGATGCATGGATCCTGAATCTTTTTGCATGCAGTTTCAAGGCTTCTTTGCCCAAGTTATTACCCTGGATCCTGGCAGTAGTCTGACCATCTGTCCCTCCCTCATCTTTGTTCCCTGTCAAAATCACAAACTGACCACAAGATTAGTACTAGCTGTTTCAAATCAGTTGAGAAAAATGATAAACTGTAAAACCACATCAAAATCACGAATCATATGAAAATTGATAAAGAAAACATACAAATTCAATGAAATGAAGGCAAAAGGATTGGAAGAGTTAGGAAGGGTAGGTAGTGGATAGGAGACAGAAATTGAAAATGTTTACCTTAATTGATAAGGTTCTTTTTATCCAATCTCCCTGGTTGCTTAGCTGGGTTAAATGTGAATCTGCTTCGTGGGAGGGGGTTGCTCTACATTCTGTCAGCTGTCAGCTGTCAACTTTAAAGCAAAAATTGATTCTTATTTACTGTATTTTTGAAGTTTGCTATTTGATTGTGAGCAAAAAAATTACTTTAAAAATGGCTTAATCAAGCTGTTCTGAATAGCTTATAGAAATACATGTAAAGCAAATGCAAAAAGTTATTTGGCTTAGGGAGGAGATTGGCATGGCCTGATTACATGCAGTGTTTTGAGAGATTTTCAAAATAAAATTGTTAATATATTATAAACAGCACACATAAACAATGCAGATGAGGCAGTCAGGACTGGGGCAAGTTGGTTGCAATTCACATCCTTCTTTAAAAATAATTCCAATAAACATCATCCATATTTGAAACAAAATAAAAATTCATTTTTATGAATTAAAAGTAACCCCTCTATACCTTTTTAAAAATCTTATATATTTAGAAAATGGCTTCTATGTTTGACCACAACCAGCAGAAATGGTACCTTTATTTTTATTTTTTAATCTGGGTGATGACAGGGGTACCCCTCCCAGACTGTCCTCCACTCAAACTTGGTGAAGGCCCTCACAGCCAAGATGACTTTAGATGTAATCATGGTTTAAAACTTGGGGCAAAACCCACTTTTTTGTTTCATACTCGGAATTCGTAATACTCAAATATGCATTCTCTTATTATTTCTACAGGCCACCATACATGTATATGACCGATGATTGTTCGTTTAACTTTACCACTGAACCAGGGCGATAACGTGTTTACCAAATAAATATATTTCCCTCTCTACTGAAAGAAAATTCCCTGATAGACAGAAAAATCAACATTTAGTATCAAACTTACAGGTATGTCGCATCGTGACCGTCTGCTGGAAGAAGACTAAAGTCAGTAAAGACTGTCCACCATATTCCGTTAGAATAGACTGAAACCGAGTGCTGTTCACGGAACCGGAAGTTGTTACATATACTGGTCTACATCATGACACATCCCTTTTTTAAAAATAAACTTTAGAGAAGATTATTTTACGAATTAAATATTTTACGTAGATTAAAAAAAAACTTTTTATTATTGTAAACAAGTGTACATCCGTATATATTACTAAGGAAGGACATACTATGATACATGTACTTTACTTCGTATGAGAGAGAGAGAAAGGTTTTTTTTAAAGGCCATATTAGACCAAAAAGGCGAAGAATTCAAGGGCAATCTACTGCAAGTGATGATGAAAGCAAACGTGTATACATTTAGAAAATGTGTGCGCAAAAATATATAATGCAAAAGTGCAGAAAACTTGCATGTACATTGTGTACATGTATTCGTTACCCTTTGACTGTAACGAATGGAATTAATTATTCACAATTGTCCATACACATGATTTAGCCCTTTTTTTAAGAAGAAGAGTAAAATAACATAAAATCCTCTATCTGCTCAAGAAATCCCATAATAAACACGTGGTTACAAGTGAGCACACTTAGCCCGTGCTGAGCAAAATATTTTACATGTACCTTGAGAAAGCTTTGAAAGGCGTTAATTCTCAGAGGGAAAGTGTTTTAAAATAAAAATTATGCTTATTCTGGTAGAGCTCTCTCAACGAATATAGTGATGTAATTTTTATCAAGGGGTTTATGTTTGCCCCCCCCCCCCCCACCCCACATTTCCTTCTATCGGGCTCGCAGCAACGGTTATTAAAATCCCTCATTAGAGGACATCTGCACTTTCAAAATCACCGATATAGAAACCTCTATGAAACCTCTATGAAACTAGAAAAGGTGCAAATGATATATGGTGGTCATGTAGATCTCTCTAACCATTTATACACTAGTTTGATATAGTTATTCCTGACAGCATCAATTAATTTATCTTTCCTTAAGATTTGATACGATATTACTGCAGAGTACTATTGTACAAGGCATCTCATTTTTTTTACATTTGTTTACATTCAGTTCCTTATAATGAAAGTCAATTCCACATGATAGTAGAAAATCTACGAGAGTTTCCAATTTATGAGGGAGAACTGTCACCCTACTTTACAGTTTGAATATATTTTAAAATATTTTGTAAACAGAGTGATAAATCCATCAGTCAATTTTTGATCCGTCTATTTTTTTATGCGCCTTGAAATAATGGACTCATTGTATAATGATCTAGTTCATTAACGTTGATGAGTTGTAATTAACCACATTTAACCTTAAGTTCACCCATTATTACTCATATATACATCACTTATAGGCTTCGAACTTTGTTTCAAGGAGAAATATTTCTGTGGTCCTAACACTGTTTAGATTATTGATTACACCTGAATTGTTCTGTCCAACCACAATTTTGTTTAAATACAGACTTCTTATTGATGTTTGTAGATGTGGGATTCGTATTCTTTAAACCGTCTCTCAAAAGAGAATAAAATTAACTTCAGCTTTTTTTTGGCCTATTGAAAACTAAGAGTAGCTCAGAAGGCAGGCGTGGGTTAATATAGGGGAAGGTGTGGGGGAGATCTTTTATCTCAGGAAATATCTCAGTAAATATTTTCGGCAAGGAGGTAAGTTCGAAATTCCACTTATGATGACTTCATAAACATGTTGACCATCGCCGCCACAACATAACTTATATTTCGTATCTTCGACATATTGGTAATTCTTTTAAAAAAGCTGCATTTCAATACATCAGTTAACTTCATACTCGGATCAGCTGTCAATCTTGCATAAATCTTAGAAACATTACTAGTAACGTATTTAACATTAAATCGTGGATGCATTTGGTCGATGTTTTAATTTTGAGGCACCGAAATTCCAATTGGTGTTACCACCAAAGGTGTCATTAAGTGACTGAGTAATGAATCAGTCAAATTCGACCTGGTCTAATTTTTTTTTTTTTTTTTTTTTTTTTTTTACAAAATAAACCTTTCATATTAAAAAAAAAGATGACATCATGACCAGAAAATTAGAGCTAGCAAAAAAAGGGGGGATAAATAATTTCTTATTATTTATGTACACGTATCTGAAAACCCTGATAACAGGCCATACTCAATGTCAGACAACATGTAATACTAAATCCTACTAAATACAGGTGAGGGATGGAGGGGGAGCGGGCAAGCTTTTTGAATGTTAATCTCAGTTTGAATACAAAAAATAAGGAATAAACGGGATTTCATTTTTATTTTAACAAATAAGTTTTATTCCTTTTGATCTTTTTTGTATCAAAGATAATTAATCCATTAGGAAAATACATTTTTAATTACTGAAGTTAACCCCGCCCCCCAAAAAAAAATACATGCATTCTAAAGAAAAATGCTCTCTTATAAGTGTATAAATTTCTCTCTTATAAGTGTATAAATTTTACCGTTAGCAAGCAACATGTATAGAAAATATCCTAGAATTTTATTCCAGAGCACACTGAATTTATTAAAGTTTTTTTCTTACATGTATTTACAAATCGCACTTGTAATCTTCGTTTTTAAACTTTTGTGATCCCACCACTCATGGGATCGTTCCCAAAATATTTCACTTGAATCTCATCTCCGGGCTTAAATCCCAAAATTTTCTGAATATATAAGATAACTTAAAAATTTGATCAATCTGCTTAAATTGAGCAAAAGTTTGAGACTTTAAAATAATTTCCATACTTGTTAAATTTTCAATGCCAGAAAAACCAAATTTTGTAATTGAAAAGGTCGAATAATTGATTATGTGAAACAATTTGAAACTTTTTCTTAGTCACAATATTAGAGTGTCTTTTTTAAAATATAAAAATATTTTAGTTTGTCCCATGATTTATTTGAAAAAAAAATTGGAGGGAAAACGTCGAGGATGTGATTTTTTTTTTATTAAGGCACATTTCATTGCAAAAAGTTCATATTAAATGTACTGCAGAATTAAATGTACTGTAGAGCCAAAATTTGATGAATGTTAGTATTTTATAATGAATTTAATATTGGTTTTTTTGGTCTCCATTATCATAAAACATTAAAGATTTAAATCCCCACAACAGACCAGGAAGTATAAATACCTGACAGGTAGATAACACAGGTAAGTCATGTGACCTGAATTCCAATAAGGAGCTGGCAGCCATTACTGTTTTACATCAGGTAATGTCTAAACTTTGATATCAAGACACGAAGCATCGTTTTAGAAAGGGGGGGGGGGGCGTCAGAGAAAATCGGGGGGGGGGGGGGTTAGGGGTAGGGGTCGACATTTTTCAAGACCGATTTCTTTCAGTATCCATTTTTTTGTATTCAACACCACATTTCCCTGATATTAATTTTCTGTAGTATAAAGTGGGGGGGGGGCAGCCTTTCAATGAACATTTCCATTTTCCAATAGTAAAGGTAATGTTGGGAAAAAAGTGCACCCCCCCCCCCCCCGGTTGCTGCGTGCTTTTCCAATAGTAAAGGTAATGTTGGGAAAAAAGTGCACCCCCCCCCCCCCCCCCCCCCGGTTGCTGCGTGCCTGGATATTGACTTATAATAATTGAATAATTCTGTATACTACAATCCATCTTGTGTAGCATGCTCTGCTCTGGTGAGAGATTGAAAAAAGATCTTGTTTTTATTGATGTACTGTTGGAATAATCAGATTTAATACGGTTTGGGCCAGCCTTGGTAGCTAAGTCAGTAGAGCATTTGACTAGTGAAGCAGGGGTCCCAGGTTTGATTCCCAGTAGAGTCCGTTCAGTCATACATTTTCTCCTTTCCTGTTACAGTTTTGGTGCCGTTGACAAGCCCTGGACTTGTAGGTCTTAATCATGGACCCCAGTGCCCAGGACGTGGTGCGATGCGACCTGTGTGAGACCGCTGTGGTACAGATGCACTGTGATACATGTCTTGTCAACCTGTGTAAGGCCTGCGTTGGAGAACACTTCTCTGCTGATCTCTCAAAACCTCATAAAATTGTGGACTTCAAAGATAGAAAATCCACTCCCCTCTATCCTGGATGTAAAACTCATGACAAAGAACGATGTAAAATGTACTGTGATCAATGTGACATTCCTGTCTGCCATAAGTGCATATCATCTGGTCAACATCTAGGCCATAAAGTATCAGAAATCTTAAAAGTTGTGGATGGAAAAAGGAATAAATTCATGAAAGAGCAGACTGAATTAAATGAGACAATTTACCCCACCTACCAGGACATTGCCTCTGATGTACAAAACAGAATGATCCAGTTTGAAAAGAACTAGTGCTAATTGTAACGGGGACCGTTACAGATGTTCCCCAAACGCTCCCCAACTCCCTTTTGGTGCCATATTCCCTGTTATCTCTATTAAATAAGAAATACTTTATGGAATTTAGACTTAATCAAGGTCTTCCAAGAAAAATACAAAATATATTTAAAAAATAGGCATTGCACGCGTGTTCATGTGAGTAACGACCATATTATCTTGTCTACACTATCTTAAATTTTAATAATATCAAAGCATTTAATCCAAAAGTATTAAAAAATGCACTCATTCAAGTGTATTTTTTATTTTACTCATTTCACGTGCACGCACGTGCATAATGACTACACCTTCTTGTAGGAGTCCCTTATATTTATCCAAGTTCTAAATCTCATCCTGTTTCGTTGAAAAACAAGAGAGTTATAGCCATTTGAAGTTTCAGCCAATCAGATTGCAGCACACGTGCATGCGCGTGATTTCATGAATATTTTCTATATCATATTTTAGGATATCGTAATGCATGACTATGTTTTAAATTTCAAAGCATTTCGTCAAAAAACAAAGGAGATATAGCCATTTAAAGTTTTAGCCAATCAGATTACAGCACGTGCGCATGCGCATGCTTTTATTAAAATTTTAATATATCATGCTGTAGATCTTTATAATGTAGGACCATGTTCAAAATTTCAAAAGATTATGACAAGAAACAAGAAAGATATTGAGACTTTAGTTTCAGCCAATCAGAGCGAAGCGCACGTGCATGCGCGTGAGATCTTGCTATTTTGACCATGCCATCTTGTCTATACTACTAATGTATCCTTACATTATGAGTTTCAAAGCATTTTATCAAAAAATAGAAAGTTCCGACTATATCTATTATATTGGTTATTTGAAGTGTTGCACGTGCGCGCTCTTGCAAGCACGTGCGCGCAAAATGACCTTGATTCCGCAAATCTGCATAACATGTCTACTTACCCTAAAAAGGTTTTACCTACCTCGGACGAACAGTTTACAAGATCATTCCCGGACAAAAAAGTACCCAGGAAGAAGAAGAAAAATAATAATAATAATAATAATAATAACTAGTGCTAATTGTAACGGGAACCGTTACAGATGTTCCCCAAACGCTCCCCAACTTCCTTTTGGTGCCACATTCCCTGTAAGCTTCATTAAATAAGACAAACTCTATGCATTTGAGGCTTTAACAACATTTACCCAAGAGAAAGTACCAAGTTCATTCAAATTTTAGAATTCCACGCCTGCGTAATGACCATATCATCTTGTCTATACAATCTATATATTTTAATATACTAAATGTTAATGTAATTAATTCAAAAGTATTAAAAAATACGCTCATTAAACTGTATTTTTGATTTAACTCATTTCACGTGGAAGCACGTGCATACATGAGCACGATGACCATTCCTTCTTGTAGAAGTCCATTACATCTATCTATGTTCTAAATCCCACCCCGTTTGGTTGAAAACCAAGGGAGTTATAGCTGTTTCAAGTTTCAGCCAATCAGATTGCAGTGCACGTACACGCACGTGTATGCATGTGCATGGTGACCATTCCATCTTGTAGAAGTTCGTTATATCTATCTATGTTCCAAATCCCATCCTGTTTGGTTGAAAACCAAGGGAGTTATAACTATTTAAAGCATAAGCCAATCAAATTGCAGCGCATGTGCATGCAGGCGTTTTCATGAAAATTGCTATATATTTTATTGTAGGATATCCTAATACATGCCTATGTTTAAAATTTCAAAGGATTTCGTCGAAAAACAAGAAAGATATTGAGACTTTAGTTTCAGCCAATCAGAGAAAAGTGCACGTGCATGCGCGTGTGATCTTGTTTTTTTGACTATGTCATCTTGTCTATGCTTCTAATATATACTTATAATATGAGTTTCAAAGCATTTCATCAATAATTTAAATAGTTACGTCTGTATCAATTATGTTGGACATTTTTCATGTTGCACGTGCGAGCTCTTGCAAGCACACGTGCATGCACATGCTTTCATTATAATTCTTATATTACAGGCTGTAGATCTCCCTAATATATGACTATGTTCAAAATTTCAAATGATTTTATCAAAAAACAAGAGAGATATAGAGACTTAAGTTTCAGCCAATCAGAGCAAAGCGCACGTGCATGCGCGTGCGATCTTGCTACTTTGACCATGTCATCTTGTGCATACTACTAATATATCCTTACATTATGAGTTTCAAAACATTTTGTTAAAAAATAGAAAAAGTACGGTTTTATCCATTATATATTGGTCATTTCAAGTTTTGCACGTGCGCGCTCTTGCAAGCACGTGCGCGCAAAATGACCTTGATTCCGCAAATCTACATAACATGTCTACTGACCCTAAAAACATTTCACCTAAATCGGATGTGTAGTTTACAAGATCATTCGCGGACAAAATTTTCCCGAGAAGAAAAATAATAATAATAACTAGAGCCGAGCTCGTTGCAAAGCAACGAGTAGGTCTTCCGTCCGGTTTTGACCAGAAGTGCCGGAAGTGACGTGAACAAAAGAAAGCAATGAGCTAAGTAGTCTCTAGTGACTTAATAATTTCAATTTTGCATTAAAACCTTCGAAATAAGCTATTTTTGGCTACTTCCGGTTTAACCGGAAGTGATGTCGACGGACGGAAAGTTAAGATTTAAGCTTCCAGTGAAATATATTGCCCAAAAACCTGTCAAGAACAGCAAAAATATGCAATTTTTGACTACTTCCGGTTCAACCAGAAATAACGTCGCCGGACGTATTTTGACGACACCATTAGATATAGCTTGACATTTTGAACAACTTTGCTTCTTTGATATATTACAAATCCTCAATACTTTTTGAGATATAAATGAAAAACTTTTGGTCCCTTTTGGCCCTTTATTATAGGGGCCAGCCCCTTATCGTTTATATTTTTCGAAAGATCGTGACATTCTCTACAACTTTTGTTCTATATGTCTTTACAAATTGTTAACATGTAAAAAGATATTGCAGAAAAGGTGTTAAATATTTCTGAGTCCCTGGTAGAACTTTTTTCGAGCCATAGCGAGCGCCGACGTGCGGCACTTCCGGAGAAAGAGAGTGCTGTGTGACAAAAGAGCACACCTTGCTCTATCATCGCTGAAAATCTTATGTTTCTGTCTTAAGGCATTTTCGAGAAAAATGATGGACAATGAGACCCCCTGAAAATCACTAAATCGCGGAAATCTCAAAACCGGAAGTGACGTCATCAAAACAAAAAAATTACTTTCAGCTTTGTTTGATGTTCTATCAGTCCTGAAAGTTTCATTAAAATCTATCCAGCCGTTTTCGAGAAATCGCGTGCACAAAATCGGTAAGAAAAAAAAACAATAATAATAATAATAAAAATAGTGGAAAAGAAACCTAAGAATAACAAGAAGGTCTTCCGCTGAAGACGGAAGACCTTAATAATAATAATAATAATAAGAAACAGAGTAAAAACAATATGTTCCCCAACTTCGTTTGGGGAACATAATAACTAGTGCTAATTGTAACGGGGACCGTTACAGATGTTCCCCAAACGCTCCCCAACTCCCTTTTGGTGCCATATTCCCTGTTAGCTTCATTAAATAAGACAAACTCTATGCATTTGAGACTTTAACAACGTTTACCCAGAAGTGTACGAAGTTCATTCAAATTTTAGCATTGCACGCGTGCGCATGTGAATGCATGTGCGTAATGACCGTATCATCTTGTCTACACAATCTAATATATATTAAATTTACTAAATACTAAAGTATTTAATCCAAAAGTATTAAAAAATACGCTCATTCAAGTGCATTTTTGATTGGTTGAAAACCAAGGGAGTTATAGCTGTTTAAAGTTTAAGCCAATCATATTGCAGCGCACGTACATGCACGTGTATGCATGTGCATGGTGATCATACCTTCTTGTAGAAGTCCATTATATCTGTCTACGTTCCAAATCCCATCCTGTTTGGCTGAAAACCAAGGAAGTTATAGCTATTTAAAGTTTAAGCCAATCAGATTGCAGCTCACGTGCATGCACGTGTTTTCATGATAATTGAGATATATCATGTTGTAGGATATCCTAATGCATGGCTATATTCAAAATTTCAAAGGATTTTGTCAAAAGACAAGAAAGATATTGAGACTTTAGTTTCAGCCAATCAGAGCGAAGCGCACGTGCATGCGCGTGAGATCTTGCTATTTTGACCATGTCATATTGTCTATGCTACTAATATATCCTCACATTATGAGTTTCAAAGTATTTCATCAAAAAATAGAAAAGTTGCGGCTATATCTATTCTATTGGTTCTTTCACGTGTTGCACGTGCGCGCTCTTGCAAGCACGTGCACGCAAAATGACCTTGATTCCGCAAATCTACATAACATGTCTACTGACCCTAAAAAGGTTTTACCTACATCGGACGAATAGTTTACTAGATCATTCCCGGACAAAAAAGTACCCAGGAAGAAGAAGAAGAAGAAAAATAATAATAATAATAAGAAACAGAGTAAAAACAATATGTTCCCCAACTTCGTTTGGGGAACATAATAAGAAACAGAGTAAAAACAATATGTTCCCCAACTTCGTTTGGGGAACATAAATATGGAGATCTCTCAACAGCCATAACAAAACATGGAGAGGACTGGCACAGAGAAATTGACAAACTTGTCAATAAACTTAAAGCTGAAGTTGATGTGATGAAAAACACACAGTTACAAACTCTACAGAAACATCTGGATGAAATAAACAAGACAATGTCTGACATCAAGGATGAAATCAATTCAATGGAAACTGCAATAGACACCAATGAATTGTCAAAACTATTTAGTGTCATGTCTAATGTACACACATACAGAAATCTTCCAGACAAAATTTTAGCACCTTTACCCAAATTCATTCCAGGAAAAATGAAAGGGGAAGAACTAAGTAAACTGTTTGGAGCCTTATCATCAAGTTCTTTAACATCAGATAAACATGGTTACAGCATGAAGACAACACAGAAATCACCAGAAGCTGGATCCTCTCCTCCGGTCAAACAACTGCTTGATGAACCAGAGACTGTCACCACCATAGACACTGGGTATAAACAATTTTACAATATGGCCTGTCTGAATGATGAAGAAATCTGGACAAGTGGAGGTGACAACACCATGAAACTCTACAGCATCAATCAGGGATCACTACTCAAGTCCATCAAAACCAAGTCAGGGTACATATCATCTAACATAGCAGTGACAAAAAGTGGAGATCTAGTTTATACTGATTACTTTTATAGAACTGTGAACATTGTGAAGAATGAGAAGATAGAGGAGTTGATCAGACTACAGAACTGGATACCTAAAGGTGTCTGTAGTACCTCCTCTGGGGACCTCCTGGTTATCATGGTCAGTGATGATTGCAAACAAACAAAAGTTGTCTGTTACTCTGGCTCCACAGAAAAACAAACCATTCAGTTTGATGATAAACGTAAACCTCTCTACTCTAATTCTAGTTCTTGTATTCTAAGATACATAACTGAGAACAAGAACCTGGATATCTGTGTGTCTGATGAGAGAGCTGGAGCAGTAGTGGTGGTCAATCAGGCCGGGAAACTGAGATTCAGATACACTGGACATACTCCTGCTCCAATGAACAAAGCATTCAATCCACGAGGAATCACCACAGACAGTCAGAGTCACATCCTTACAGCTGATTTTAACAATCACTGTGTCCACATCATAGACCAGGATGGACAGTTCCTCCGTTACATAGACTGTGAACTGAGTAGACCCTGGGGACTGTGTACAGATACAAATGACAATTTGTTTGTTGTTCAGTGGGGAAACAGACAAGTGAAGAAAATCAAATATCTGCAGTGAAAGTCAAGATTATATGAAAAAAACTTTCCTCTTCAAAATTAGCTAGTTTCTCTTTATGCTTAAATTGGCCATGTAGATAAACAAATTTATTAACTTACACACTATGTCCAATTCTCAGCCTCATAATAAAGTAGAGATCTAATGCTTTCAATTTTTATGTAAAAGATACCTCTAAAGAGTCCAAGTTCTCAAAAACAGATTGTGTGAAGTTGAAATGTTCTTGAATTTTGCAGAAAAAAATGCATTTGAGATCCTTCAACAAAGAAATAATATATGAGCACACCCCTCAATCCAAAAAATAAAATGTTTCATAATCTAGACAAGCAGTTCTTTCAAAATATACATGTATTTACACATTTTGAATCGGCAGGTCGTGCTGTACATGAAGTATTGAAAAATGAAAATAATGAAGCATTTCATTACATAGCAATGCATGAACTAGCAAGAAAATTACATCATTTTTATTGTAGACATGCAGTCACCAAGGGTTTAAGTTATATTTATTTTGTTGTCAACTAAAACTATATGTACTCAATTTTTAAGAAATTTACAGGGCTTCAAATGGCCCAAAGTGGCCCTTGCTTTTTTTCATCATTTCAGTCCATTGTCTAAACTTTATCCATCTTTTATCTGTATATAACGACTGATGTATGATATGACTGTTACATGTATATATTATGACTGTTATATGAAATGGGGTACCAAGCTTCTTCAATGTTAATCTTAGTTTGAATATAAAAAATAAGGAATAAACAGAATTTCATTTTATTTTAATAAATCCGTTTTATTTCTGTTGATATTTTCTAGCTATCACAGAAGACTTATCCATTATGAGACCTGTGACATTTACATTAATGAAGTTGAACCAGAAAAATAATACCTGATCATAGTACGGTGAACAGTCAGAGGCATAGCCAGGGTACTTTTGACAGTACATTACGAAAAATTGTAATATTACAATTTTCCATGATATAGTGTAAGTAAGAGTTATCTCTCCCATTGTAAAAATAAATCTATGCTTGATTAAGGAGGCTGGGGGGTCAACAAATTAACCGCAAATTAACCACCAGATTTAACTTATTTTTTTTAGATACGGTATCTTAAGCTGTCAACTATCATTTGGCAAAGAAAAAATTCATACATTTTAGTTTTAAAAATTGATCATTTTTGTATATCTTTATATGGAGCTCTTCTTTTAAAGGAGATAGAAATAGTCTGAAAATGGCTGCCACCCCCAGCCTCTTTAAATCTGCATCTAGCTCACAGCAGGGTCAATATTACCACTTACTAAATGAATAAGAAGTAGAGTAGATACCTAAGGAATATCAAGTGTCTCATCTAAGCCTTTAGATTGGTCTTACACAAGATTAACAGCTGGATAATCATTAATGCATTAGTTAGAGTAATGAAAGAACCATGATGGTCGGAGCTAAACTAGGAAGGCCGGAGACATGAAACCAGTATCAGGTCACTGGGTCAACTTCAAACTATACAGGAAAATTACTGCCAATCCCTCAAAAATTACTCTCTGGGAGATATTGACATTCAAAGTGTGCACTATGTCAAAGAAAGTCAAAAAGTAGCAATAAATTTTGGACTATTTCTTACCCTGCACCATGAAAACAATTAAACCAGAAGTTTGGAACAAAAATATTTCATAATAAAAGCATTTGTTTGCTTTAATTTAAGATTTTCACAACATTAACTATATTACAGTTTTCCATAATATTACAATTTTTCATAATATAGAAATATTAGGAAAAATTGTAATATAAAATCTTATATTATGGAAAACTGTAATATTACAGTTTTTCGTAATGTACTGGACTGTTTGATGTGGACACCCAGGTAGGCGGCAGGGGGTAGGGGCTGACTTAAGCCTGGCTATGCGCCTGACAGTTACATAATAATGCAGGCTAAATGAAATTTTACATTCCAAGACATAAAATGTCCAGCTCAATTTTTCAAAGAAAAATAAAATTACATTTGATGATTTGCCATTAAAAATCATATTCTATTTTGTTTTCAATGAAAAAAAAAATATCAAAGAATTAACATTAATTTAAGCACACGTTAAACAGTCACTTTGGACTATTTCAGTTTCTAACGAAAAATCTTCTCAAACACTGCAGGAATTTTTTGTCACCTCTTTGGCACATTAATGACAGTCAGAAATTAAGTTTTTTTTTTATGAAATATATGTGTAAAATCACTTTGTATAGACTTTGTTGTCTTTAGATTTTAAATTAAACATCATCAGGTAAAACAATTCAAACGTCCCTCGTCTTGCAGTGCTCAATACTAACTCCCTCAAGATAAACAGTACACTGTAGGTCCTTTAAGATTGCATATTCAAGATGAGCAGGTCATCTTCATCCATTTCGTTTGTGAAATTCTCATTCTATCCCCTCTCTTTCTTTCTGTTCTTGGAAGAACAAGATCTTATAATTAGTATTCATATATTAAAACTAGAATAGTGCCAGGGTCAGGACTTGAATGCTGGTAATGCGGGAGAGAGAAGGACCCTCCGTGACAGTCTGATCCCACCACTCACGGGATCATTCCCAAAGTATTTCACTTGTATCTCATCTCCGGGCTTAAATCCCAAAACTGTGGCATCCTGAACCTGTCAAAGGGATCATTCAATCAGAATGTGATTTTTATTTAAATACATGTATGCAATATAATAAAATACAAGTAGCACATTTTTTTCTTACAGTACCTACTCCCCAAGTAAAAGGATACAGAAAAAGAGGCTAAAATATTAAAATGTGCATATGGATTCCAATATATGTATTTTATTCTGGTTTATATCCCTGTAAAATTCCAGAACAAAGTAATAAGGAATTTAAAGCTCACCATTCTGATATCCAGTTGTTTTCTGTGTATGAATACTGGCTCCATGCTAGGATGGATCTCCACCATGGCACCGGCTACCCTGTAAAACCAACAGCATTCAGTATACTAGGTTCCGTGCAAAGTGAAACATTTTTAGCTTAAAGCTTACAAAATTAAAAATTTTACTGTTACAATTTTAGCTTACAAAAATAGACATTTAAATAAATTAAATCATATGATTAATGATACATTAATGATACAGGGTACATCAAAAGTCAACTTTGCAACAGGTCCATAATCATTACATTACAGGGTATCTAAAAAATTACAAATGACTGCACATCCTTAATAAATCAAGTAAAAACAAGAGGCCCATGGGCCACATCGCTCACCTGAGAATTGTGGCTAGGCAAAAGTAAAAATTGGTTTATCACTGAATAGTTTAAATCCAAAAGTAGTCCCATTACCAATCATGGCTTTGCTATTCTTGATAAGATGACAATTTTAGCTTACAAAAATAGACATTTAAATAAATTAAATCATGTGATTAATGATACATTAATGATACAGGGTACATCAAAAGTCAACTTTGCAACAGGTCCATAATCATTACATTACAGGGTATCTAAAAAATTACAAATGACTGCACATCCTTAATAAATCAAGTAAAAACAAGAGGCCCATGGGCCACATCGCTCACCTGAGAATTGTGGCTAGGCAAAAGTAAAAATTGGTTTATCACTGAATAGTTTAAATCCAAAAGTAGTCCCATTACCAATCATGGCTTTGCTATTCTTGATAAGATGACTTTTAAAGAATTTTCCTAAATATGTCTATGTAAAACTTTGATTGGCCATTGTGGCCCCACCCTACCCCCGGGGGTCATGATTTGAACAAATTTGAATCTACACAACCTGAGGATGCTTCCATATAAATATGGTCAATTATGGCTTTGTTATTCTTGAGAAGAATATTTTTAAAGAATTTTCCTATATATTTCCATAGATGTAAAACTTTGGTCGGCCATTGTGGCCCCGCCCTACCCCAGGGGGTCATGATTTGAACAAACTTGAATCTACACCACCTGAGGACGTTTCCCCATAAGTTTCATCTTTCCAGGCACAGTGGTTCTTGAGATGAAGATTTTTAAAACATACCACTAAATTTTCATTAATTCCCAATTATCTCCCCTTGAGTGAAGACCAGGCCCTTCATTTGAATAAACTTGAATCCCCTTCACCCAAGGATGCTTTGTGGCAAGTTTGGTTGAAATTGGCCCAGCGGTTCTTGAGAAGAAGTCAAAAATGTGAAAAGTTTACAATAACGATGACGACAGACAACAGACAAATTTTGATCAGAAAAGCTCACTTGAGCCTTCGGCTCAGGTGAGCTAAAAATTGGTACATGTACTTGATTAAAACTAAATGGAGGAAACTTTTTATCTCAAAACTTGTTAGAAAAGATAACCAACAAAATTGACAGGTACATACTTTACTTCCAATATCTTCACCGTATATATAGCACCAAACACCAGATTGGGAGCAGCCTAAAACACAAAGGTATACTTGCTAGAGCAGGATATACAATGAAATACAATTAAAACTACTAAATGTTGTTGTTTTATCTACATATATTAAGCTGATATTAAACATAGAAATAATCACGCTTTATTAATATAGTGTGTAAGTTTTCCGATTTCTAATTAGGTACATGTAATGAACAACATACATGTATGAAAATTACCCAAATTTACCCCCTACAGAACAAATGAAATGTCAAAAAATTTTACCTTCCTATAAATGTTACTGCATGAACAGTATTTAATTTAAAACTGGTACATATATAAATGTCACATATACATCAGTGGTAAAAAAACTAGACAATTCAAACTTGTTTATGCCGTGTAGCTGCTTTAGGACAGAGATGATGAAATCAATCATGAAACATTTCTTAATTTACACTCTAGAACATCTAGACTATTTTTTTTGACTAAGAGTTGATAAGAAGTGTATGCAGTTTACAAGTATTTACTCAGACAGAAGGAGAAATCCACAGATATTTGAGAGAGAGAGAATGAAAGGGAAAGGAAGGAGAGAGATACAGCTCCTCTCTTACCTTTTCCTCCAGCCAGACGTTCAGTAATTCTTTGGCTTCTGACAGGGCTGTCTTGTCCGGAGCAAACAAATCAAACGTGCTCTCGTCCAGCACGGACATCTGGACACCGGTCTTCTGGGCCAGCTGTCGTAACCTCTGACCTCCGACCCCGATCACACGGGATCTCTTCTGAGGATTTACGGTAAACTTCTCTACAACATAAAAAAAATACAATTTGATTTTTGGTCAACTGATAACAAGTAAGCCAGGGTTTACAAAACAAAAAGAATCTTCAAAATCTTGTTCATAAAAACTTTAGCCAGCAAATCATATCATAAAACAGACTATTACAAAATGCGGGGGACTGAGGACTTTGCTTTGTTATTAGCATAATTCACTATAACTGTAAAGTACTGTAGATTCCTAATTATACGCGAGGAATTAATTATCGCGCAATATCGCGAGAAGCATCATCCACAAAATAAAAATACTCGCTTTTATCTTTAAGGTGCTGAAATCCATGGAAATTCTCTTGATCAATCATCCATTCGCGAATAATTATTGTCGCGATTTGATATTCAAGACCCATCTTGCGATAATAAATACTAACGAAAAATAAGGAATCTACAGTACCGGTAAATAATATATTTTAGAGCCAAGGGAGATGAAAATCACTTTGCTGTAAGCATCAATTGATTATGACCATATTGGCTATAGGCGTTTTTTACTGTAAATGGTTACATGTAAAGGTAGATTGTATTCAAGGTAGAAAGGTTACCTGTCCGTACCTGTTACTGGGGCATTGCTTTTAGGTTCCCTTGGTTTACTTATCACAGAGTTCATAATCTTTAACATTCTATTTATTCCACCTGTAAAAAAAGGAAGCATTTTTTTTTATGGTACAATTCACTAGACTAAGTCTAACAACATGTAAATTCTTCAGCCCCTATATGTTATTAAGTACTACAAAAATAAAAAATAACTTTTAAATTTCTACATTTTAAATACATGGTCAATTATGATTTTTTTTTCTCTATATATAATATATTGTATATAGGAAAATATTCTAATTTCATATCTTTGGCACTTTTTTGTCTATAGATAAGCCAATTCAAACTGAATCAAACAAGGCAGAGTTATCTTTCTTTGAAAACAACTGTCTAGGTGGAACCATTTTGCAAGCAAGATTGGGCAAAAATAATCCTATATAGTACAGTACTGCATTTTTCTTAAAGAAAACACACTTACTTTTACCAGCATCAATTGCCTCAAATACAATGTCTAAAGGTAAAAAGGATAATTTAATGTCTGCCTACAAAAAAATATACATATTTTGATCAGAATACATTGTTTCCTTTACAATTAATTGTGTGTTAATTTCAGTAAAAAAAAAAAAAATAAATAAAAAAAAAACCCAATAATTTTTAAGAAGTCTGTAAACCTGCAATGCTGTGACTCCATTTTTAGTTCCTGCAATTTTGAAATCCATGTCTCCAAAATAGTCTTCTATACCCTGAATAATAATAAAATAAAGACTTAGAATCATTTCACTAATGTAGAGGAACTTTGACACCCCCCCCATTACATTATACCTACCATTAAGTCAGTGAGGACCCTGTGGAATGCGATATCCCCATACTTGTCTGTGTGGGTCACTAGTCCAATGGCCACCCCCCCCCCCCCATTACATTCTACCTACCATTAAGTCAGTGAGGACCCTGTGTGATGCGATATCCCCATACTTGTCCGTCTGGGTCACCAGTCCGATGGCCACCCCAGCTGCTGCCTCCCTAACTGGGACCCCCGCATCCATCAGAGCCAGGCTCCCCCCACAGACAGAAGCCATGGAGGAGGATCCTACAATTTACTGAGCGGGGTCATCATAAAAATCACCATAGAGAGGTGTACTGTGGGGAATCATTTTAATACGTGGGGTTCAGTGTTCATGGGTAAGAAAAATTCCGTTGTTTTGGTAGGGACGTAATTTAGTGGAAAGATTCAATGAAAAAAAATATGTTGACATGGTAATATTGTTCACAGGGATTTCGTAAATTATAAAATTGTAAATTTGTAGATAAGGGTGACCCATAAAATCCAAGAACATTGGTCCCTCACAAACACTGATGATTCCACACTATAACACTGGTTCATTGTAACTAATGTTTCATGGACATTTATATCAATTTATAGGAATTTTTGAAATGAATGAAATTACTTATTATTAATTTTAAGATGTTATAATAATAGAATTTTAGAGCCCACCATTAGATTCCAGAACTTCTGAGGTGAGGCGTAAAGTAAAGGGAAGATTGTCTGGGATGATCGGTCTCAGGCCTCTCTCCGCCAGGGCACCTGTCAAAAAATAAAACTTGTGTCTTAGTTCTTTTGGGTCCAATACATGTACCATTAAGTGCTGCTGTTTTTTTTTAACATAAAATATTCAAATCATATATGTAAATCTTATTAAGAGATAAGGGTGGCATAATTTTTTTGAAATTCAATTCAATGCTTTCTATGAAAATGATTATACACCTATCACTAAATTTTAAGATAAAACTGAGAAAGAATAATACTAGGCTAACACCTTGCAAATTGATCAAAAACTTATAAATTAAAATTACATGTACAATTTAAACAGAATGTACAATGATGTTATTTTTCTGTATTTTTTTTCTTCAGAATTCTTCATTTTATGAAGCAATTTTATATAATAATAATAATACATTTATAAGTGAGCTAAAAAATAATATATTAATACTTATCTTTATACAAATGTAGCTATGAATACTTTAAAACAAGTGCATGATTATTATTTTTTTTTTTTTTGCTTTTCACATTTATCAGGAAATGATTCTCTTCCAGTTTAATTTTTTTCCTTTGATTTGATTTTGTAAATATTTAATGAATCCACGAAAACTCTAAAATTTAAATATAAACCACTTTGTTTTTTATTTTGGGGAACTAAAAATAAATTTAATTATAGATATCTCAATTTCCACAAAAAAAAATGCTTCGTAAAAATTCAAGAATTCAGTATCTTGTATTTTATTTATTTATCTTTTTAAAATAGTTTTTGAACAACAAAGTAAAGTCTATAAAAAGTTTTTTTTTAATGCATTTAAGCTTCTTGGGAAAGGAAAAATATAAATATTTTAAGCATTTATTTCTAAATTAGCATTTCATTTTCCTTTCTTTTGTGTTGAACATATTTTCTCACTTTCTATGATATAACATTAATCTAGGACAACAGGGTCCCCTCCACATAAAGAGTGTCAGTAATTAGCCCAGGTAAACCCAGGTGAGACTATCACAAACAGGGGAAGTAAATCCATTCTAAAGGGACAGCAAACAGCATGTGGGGAAATCACTAGTGAGACAAACAAATGTCACAGACGATCTGACCAATCAGAGAGCTCAGACTGGCCAGCAGGGGTCATGTGACATCTGGAAAGAAGAAAGGAGAAACACATTAAATCCCTTTAGTACTTTATTTCTAAGTCATACAGGTAAGGGGTGCTGTAAAATTTATGGATTTTTTAAAATTAATTAATTCAAAATTTTTGATTTTTAAAAGTCTTCAAGTTTAAATCTATGAAAATAAGAAAGAATATTTGTTTCATAATTCTATTGTTTTCTAATTTCGAATTGGACTTTTTCTCTTGAAATTTTAATAAAAGCTGAAAATTATAAATATCTCATGTTTTTAAAAACTTTCGACAATTTGCTTTTTTCAGTTTTGATTTTGTTTAATTTTTGTTTTAGTTTTTGTTTTGGAATTCTTTTTGTTTCACTAATCTTTAGATTTCACTATTCCCTTAAAGTTAAATTTATTCTCCTTAACACTATCTAATTATTAAAGTAACACAATAATTTATAACTTAATCCATATTTTTTGCTTTAAATACATGTATAGCCTTCCAGGAGATTGACACATTTTGTATGCAAGCTCTTTATAAATATTAACTTGCTAGCATCATACATGTGTCATTGTCTTGTTTGTTTGATGCCACCACATCTGCTTCTTTCTTCATCTAATTCTATAATCTATTTCTTTATAAAATTAATTAATATTTATTTATTGTATAAAACCTATCTTTTTACTTAAAATGCATACTTATAATACTGTACCTAACATAAAATCTTTTTTTACCCCTGCCTTAAACACCCAATTTTATTTCAACGCCCCCAAAATCTACCTGATTCAAGATCAATAATTTACCGCCTGTCAATCATTAAAAAAACAATAGCTTCTGATTTGATTGACAAGTCAGCTACCTGTGCTTCATGATAATCTGAGTTTGCATGTTTTGAAAACAATTACCTGGTCACGCGTCAAACGCTTTCATGTACCCGCATAGTATACACGCGGATTAGAAAACTCCAATATGTTTGAATTTCAAAAAATAATTGAAAGTAGATAATTTAAACATTGACATAAATAAATATTTTTTTCTATCGTTTATCTGTAGAAAAAAGACCGCGTCCACAGAAAAGGCTTTAGAAGTCCAACGAATTAAATTATTTTTTAAGAAATGGTATATAAGAAAAATATTCAGTACTAATAAAAGGCATAGCATAGTTTTTAAAAGATGTTTTATTTTGTACTATGGCTACAATCCGCGCGCTGTTACTTAATTCTGATTTCCAAGATGGCCAGACTCTGTTCACTAAGCATTTGTAAGACTTGGCACATTTTGTATGCTGACAAAGGGGTTCAAAGTTCAAGGTCAGTGTCAATGTGTGTCAATTTAAACACATGCAGTTTTCATCGTTAACCCCCCTCTCTCTCCCACTCCAAACAACCTTATCTGACCAGCACATCTTGAACCCAGACCTACAGTACTAGGAATGACCCACTCTGACTGGCACACTTTGAATGTAGACCTAGATATACCAAATTGTCAGCATCAGCTTGTGCCGGTCTGAGAGGCAGAGAGTTCTCTCCCTTCATCAGAAAACGCAAGAGACAGCCTTAAGGGTCCTCCACATCATGTGACTTGTGACGTATATAGAGAAAAAATACTTTTACTTCTGGTTTGATCGAGTTTCTGCATGAACGATTTGGCCTAGCACCGTTTGTAAACAATGAACACATGGCATGATCACGGATTGACCAATGGAAAAGGATGTGTGGGTTTTTTTTTTTTAAATAAAAGAGTAACAGACGTCTTGGATTACATGTATGTAATTGTTACATAATAATTCGTAAACAACAGGTGCCGGTGGGTATGACGAGAAACGTTTACAAGGTTATTCACACTTTCAGGCTAATCAACCGTGTCTGCTTTGATAGTTGAAATTTTGGCACACTAATTTGTGCGTTTCAATAATACATTATCTCATTGTGTGTTTATAAATATTGATTAAACAGTGCGCGTTTCTAGTTTTCCTCTTTTATATCTGTCCAGTTCAGTGGCCAGTAATTGCTAAATATAGTATGGTGACGTATGCGGAGACTTGCCAAAGTTTTTGAGTCCCGGGCAACAGGAAAGATAACTCCAAAAAGGAACTTTGAAACCAAAGATTTTGAAAATGTTTTTTCTACATTAGTGCATTTAATTTTAATTCAATTTTTTGATGTAATCTTATTCATTAATGTTTCTTCTCCACGAAAGAAGTCCTTATTGATTTTTCTCGAGATGTACCATGGTTTTATGTTTTATATACTTTTTATAAACATAATAAATTTCTGTAAAAAATATGTTGATCGATAAATTAAGTTTTATGGTCATTTTGTGAGCTTTAAAATATACGAAAGGGTGAGACAAAGTTTGTTGTGCTAGGTATGAAAACGCCTTGGGAAAAATTTCTTGTAACATGTGAAATAATTATTTTAAAAAATCAGTATAAATTACATTTTAATCCCTGGACAGTTTTTAAAGGTTGATATGCTTGTTAAAAGAAATACTCAATAATATGAGAACATAAGCTGTGGGTGTGTGGAGGACCCTTAATGATCACAACTGCCTTCATTATAAAAACCGTCATTGGAAACGGAAGACTTTTATTGCCCATCCTGCACTGTTTAATCCTTGTCACTAATTTATGATTTTTTGATTTAATAAAAGAGATTATCAAAGAGAAAGCCTATATTTCAACACATTCTGCATTTGTTGCCTATTCTATGTGATAAATTAGATTTACCGTGTCCTATTTCTCTTCTTGCCGTAGCTGTACCAGGTCGTCCTATTTCATTGGTGGCATACGCTGGAAACTAAAAGAAGAATAAACATTAAAATCATTCAAAGTCTCCGCTTCCTTTACTTTTAATCTGACTCTTCAAAAACTGGAATCTATAAAATATGACAAATTTTTATCACGAAATAGTTAACTTTCTTTTTTTTTAAATAAAGATTTTATGACTTCTGTGTGTCACAACGCACAGCATAGTTTTCATCATTTGAAATTAAATAAATTGTTTTTAATCCTAAATAAATCAGAACAGGAGGTTCTTAGACCACAATGCTCACCTGAGTCAATGTATATTCTCAGAAGATTTTAAAACATTATTTTGAAAATTTTTCATCTTTGTTCAGATACAAATTGACCCCATATTGTGGTTTTAATCTGGCTACATAGGGCTAAAACATTTCAAACCTGAATCCATGCATCCTGGTTATTTTTCAATACAGCGTATTTTTATGACTAATAGGGCCTTGTTGCTATAGAGACCCCCCCCCCATCTATGCAGTATGAAAATTTGATTCCCAAATTTTAGTGCAACCCTAATCTCAGGGTTTTTAATTTGAAGAAAAAAAAATTCCACAATTTTGGTATGTTTTAGAAATAAAAATTCCAAATGTATCCATATATTTCTGCTGTATTTTAGCCCATCCTAACCCAAGGGTTCATACCGTATATACTCACCTATAAGTCAGTTTTTCGGGAGTCAAATTTTGGTATAAAACTTTATGTCCGACTTATAGGCGAGTCATAAAGAGATTATTATTCTTCTAGAAGGCAAAATGTAGTATTTTATATGCATTTCCCATAATTATCTAAGAACAAATTCTTGATATATAATCATTCATATATTCTTAGATGATACATAAAGTATAAGTTCTAAATATTTCATTCATTTCATTTATATCTAAAATGTTCATTCCTAATTTGTTTAACTCTTTACAACTTACTGAATTGTTATGCAACATACACTTACTGTTCACATCATAGAAATATGTGTTTACCATTTCCCCTATTTTAATAAGAAAATAATTTTTCTTATTTTATGAGATTCCAGCAATTATGAAATAGAAGGAATTTGGCAATAAATTGAAGATTAAATGAACTTTTAAAAGTGCACGAAAATGAGTGATTGCAGGGAAACAGTATGTGCATGATTTTGCATTAGAAATAGGAAATGGTATATGCATTAAAATGCATGATTGGGGGAAGGGGGTTGATAAGTTAAAATCAAATATCTGCATCATTTCGGGGAAAAATAATTGAAACCTGGTCAAAACATCAGTAGATTTACTTGAAACTGACAACTGAGTCTGTAAAAAAAGTTGAACCAACTTATAAGCGGGTCAAGGTAAATCCCTTCAAAATAACCTAAAAAAATACCGGTACAACCTATTTGTAGGCCGACCAACTTAGAGGTAAATATATATGGAAATTTGAAAAAAAAAATAATTCACACAGCTTTGGAAATATTTACAAATCTAAATAGAAATTTTGATATTTTGACAATTTTTCAAAGATTTTTCCAATATATAATACAGTAAAACTCGGTTATAGCAAAGATCCCTGGGAACGTGTGAATTTAATTCGCTACATCCGTAATTTGTTATATCCGTATAACAAATTCGTATAGCCATTATAGCGAATTCACACAATGCATGTTTTCCTTCAAGTATTACATGTTCTACCAACTATGTTAGTGAAGCAAATATTACAAAATATATCCTCGATAAGTAAGGTTTTCTTATTAATTGAATTTTATATATATATATGCTAAAAGGAAATAAGTAAGTTCAATTTATCATTTTTTCAATAATCTTTGAAATTTCGTTATAAAAGATGTAAATTTAATTCTATTTAACTCAATGGGACTTAAAATCAGTTCGCTATATCCGTAAATTCGTTATATCAGAGTTCGTTATAACCGAAACATTTTGCAAACTTAAGATTTAGTAAAAATTTTGCCAGGGACCCAGAAAAACTTTGCTATATCCGTGAATTCGCTATATCCATGTTCGTACTAAATGAGTTTTACTGTAGAATATAAAACTTGGATTCTCTGTAGTGGCCGAATCTCACCCACAGCCATACTGTAATTTGGGCGAATTGCCTCCCCTTGAAAGAGGGTATAACCCTTTAACTGAACAAACTTAAGGAAGGCCCACACTTTTACGGATCCGGTTCTAATTTTACACATCATTTACACATCAATATAAAATTCTGATTTTCACTTTTCTATTGATATAAATCTTTTTGGGTGATTGAAAATGATTTAGCAAGTATGTATTTGTTTATTATAGTGTTATTGTGCACATGAAGCATTTAATACATGTATACATTATTTATGAAAATTAACACTTTGCACGCTGTCCATAAGATCAATATGTCATTTAGTACGTACACAGACACAAAATTCTTAATTGCTTTTATGGACCTAAATTTTCTTTTAAGCAAACTAACCTGAGATCTATGTTTATTGATTTAGAGTCTATATCATCCATTTAATTTTTACTTTTTAAAAATTTTGCATTGAATTATTGAAAAAATTGATATTCCAAAAATGGGGGTATACATCTTCAAAAGACTGTTTTGTTAAAATTCTCTGGTCAACCATAATATAGTAGCTGTTTTGGTTAACAATAGATATAATTCTTAATAGTTTTAAAGAAAAATGGCATCTAAACATTTTGGATTTTGAGAATTATAAAAAATAAAGATATTTTGAGATTTTTTTCTGAAAGACATGGACAGATTCAACACCAATTTGTTAATGTTTTGCAGTAAAGATTTCAAATATTCTCTTGGCAAATGAATATTTTTGATCTTCATAAGTTTTAACATAAATTTGATGTGATTTGGTGAATAACTAAGAGAAATATGATATCACACTTTTTAATGTTCAATTTTGGCTGTTAATTTTTTAAACATATGTATTCTGAGACATGTTGTATGAAAATTAACCTGCAAAGATATGTCTTTTATGGGTGTTTTAGTAAGTTTAAGACTTGTTCAAGGTATTCAAATTGAAAAATTATCAGTTTGACAGAAAATTCTGAAAGTACGGACCTACCTTAAGTATTTTTACCCAAGGTAAATATCAAATACACATACATGTAGGTAATCATTTATCAAAGATTACGAAGCTTACCTTGACAAATGTTTAAAAGTTTAAGGCAAGTCACAAACCAAATTTATTCTAGAAAGATATTGAGGTTAATGCAACTCTGGTAGTGCCAATCCCTAGATGCATCATTCATGCAAGTTTTTTCATAACAGGCCTTAAAGTTACTTAGTACTTTGGGACAAAGCTACTTAAAAAACTTAAAACCTGGTCACTCATCTGGAAAATATAGGTCAAATCCAGTATCTGAAGCAGGTCTGGTAGTGACTGTCCATCCATAAGTTTGGTCTAAGTAAGACTTATTGTTATCCGAGAATGGGCTTGCTCGTAAAACTTGAACTGAGGATGCAAACACTAATGCCAACACTGGACATAGGCCTAGTCACAGGGGGGGGGGGGGGGATTTGAATGCACTTCAAATAAGAATGACATAATAATGCATACAATCAGTATACAAGAGGCCCATTGACCACATTGCTCACCTGAGTGCATTGGCTATGGAAAAGCACAAATCAGTTCAGTATTGTAAAGATTGCAATGGGGAGGGGGTTTGTGACTAATGAATATTAAACTACCTAGATGATGCTTCCATGTCAATATAACAAATTGCTTTGTTGTTCTTGCGTGGATATTGAAAAAAAAATTTCTATATGTTCCTTTGTAAAAATTGGATCCCCCATTGTGGCCCCTCCCTACCCCACAGGTCATCATTTGAACAAATTTGAATCTACACTAACTGAGGATGCTTCCATATCAGTATGACTGAACATAATTTTTTCTGTTTTTGAGAAGATTTTTTTTCTGTATGTTCTTATGTAAAACCGTTGATCCCCAATTGTGGCCCCACCCTAGCACATTTGGAGAAAAAAATGAATCTACACTACCTGAGGATGCTTCCATATCAAAGTGATTAAATATGTTTTCTGTTCTTGAGAAGAAGTTATTTTCATATCTTACTATGTAAAATTTTCAACTCCCCATAATGTGACCCCATGCTAGCCCTTTGGATCATCATTTTATCAAATTTGAATCTACACTACCTTTGGATGCTTCCATATTAAAATAACTAATCGTGGATCTGCTGTTCTTGAGAAGAAGATATTTTCCTATATGTATATATTCCTGTGTAAGACTTTGATCCCCACTTGTGGCCACATACTACCCTAGGGGGTCATTAAATTTGAACAAAATAGAATCGACACTGCCTGATGATGCTTCCACATAAATATGACTCATCGTGGCTTTGTTGTTCTTGAAAAGAAGATTTAAAAATTTTTTCCAATATATTTCTATGTAAATTCTTATCCTCAATTGTGGCCCTGTCCTACCCCTGAGGTCATGATTTGAACAAATTTGAATCTTCACTACCTGAAGGATTGTTCCACATACCAGTAATTTATCTCTCCTGATCAAGTGGTGATTGAAAAGATTTTTAAAAAATGCCATTGATTTTGCACTAATTTGTAATTATCTCCCCTTACAAGAGGGTGTAGCCCTTCATTTGAATGAAAGTAAATTCCCTTTAGCCAAGGATGCTCCATGCCAATTTTGGTTGCAATTCCCCCAGTGGTTCTAGAGAAGAAGTCTAAATTGTGAAAAGTATACAGACAGACAGATGGACAGACAGCTAGACAGACAGATGGACTACAGACAAAATGCGATCAGAAAAGCTCACTTTGAGCATTGTTTCATTTACTATAATCTCAATGGTCTGCTTGTCGCAGTGCTCTAAGAATCACAGAGGAAGGAGATGATCCCACTGAGGGTCTATATGCCAGTCCTTTGGATAAGACTGTATGAACAGAGGTAGGTGCTGGCATGAAAAAGATCCCTCCCGAAAGTGCCGAGTATAGGACAAAATTTGTAGCTCTCCATCAGCAAGTGGTGGTGTCTCCATATGAGTAAAAAAT